GAATCGGCCGTATCTCGCAAGGTCACGATATTCAGCTTCTAGCCGTTCTTCGTTCTTCATTCGCACGGTTGTTTTCGAATTCGATTTGTTGATTTTCACGCGTCGGGATCGATCCAATGTGCATGGAAATAAGCAGATTTTTTCGTACCCAACCAAGTTAGTAATCATAGTTTTTATTTGTTGCCACGGGCTACGCCTTTGACATTTGAAGACAGTAATAATGGAACTTACAGCATTGGTTTAAGTCTAGCTTTGTAATAGTCGCCTTATACAAGTACCACGTCGGTTCTAAAACGGTTTCAACATTATTAAATTCAAGCATGTATAATCCTAAGACTACAAGATACCAAAATTACATTCATATCCAATAAAACTGAGTTGTGTTTAAAGAACAAGCCAAAGCTCAAAAATTTTCGCTTTTATAATATTAATCCGACTCATCAGCTCTAGCGTTAACAACACGGTCTTATAATACGACACTTATTTTTTGAATTCATATTCTGTTTAGTCAACCGTCGTACCGAGTGAGTTGCGCGTAAATCATTCAAGGCGACATGTTATTCGCGGCGACGACGAAAACGATATCGATAAGAATTAAAAACAATAACGATGAATGGAACCCGGGTGTTTGCACATGCGATGTATGAATGTCGCCGATCGAGTTTCGGCAGCAAGGTGACACTGGTGACCCAAAGGTGACCCGGACTCAGTATAGTTCGACGAACCCGATGTCCGCTTACTGTTGTATTTTGCACTTTGAAAGAGTTCTTAATTAATGCAAGTAATTGTGGAGCTTATCGAATAGAAACTATATGCGTATGCATATAGTTCCAACATACGTGTAGAATTAAATATAACACTGATACAGTTTTTCCATTAAAGCGTTTTTTTATGTGAAAAGTTGCCAAAAGAGCAGACGGTTCACCTGATGTTAAGTGAATACCGCCGCCCATGGACATCGGCTATACCCGAGGGTTACAGATGCGTTGACAACCTTTTGAAAATTGGGCTCAGCTACCTCACTCACCAGACGAAACGCAAAAGTATTTGTCATACTTCCACTTTACGCTGGTCTTCGGTGAGGTCGTGGTACTTACCCAGACGGGCCTGCCCATTCGTGCAACAGCCGAGGCTACTGCGTGGCCCTATATATATATATATATATATATATATATACAGGCCTTTTCATCTATGTCAGATGTTTTAAGCAGCATCACGTTGACGACACCTGCGTTCATGGCTGTACAGGCCTATGCGAGAGAGTATCCCCCGACCGCACTTACGACAAGTGTATGCTCTCCCAGGTGGGCGAGGATGGGAAACCTGCTCATGGCGCTTCATGCGTTTCTCTTTTAATACCTGGAACCAGGTGTCGTCATGTTTGGACTGGCCCTCGTGGATAAGGCGACGCCACTCGAGACGATCCTCGGCCAGGTCCTGCCACTGGTCGCTAGGGATGTTAAAGGCAGCCATGTCACGCTTGGCGCAATCTTTATAGCGGAGTATTGGCCGCCCGACCGATCTTTTTGCGTTTCCGATCTCTCCTAGTAGGATTTGGCGTGGTAAACGAGACTTCTCCATTCGATACACATGCCCGAGCCACTTCAAACGCCTCTTTTTTAATATGGCTGCGATGCTATGGAGCTGTGCGATGCCTAGGATAGACTCGTTTGTCACATGATCCTTCCACGTGATGCCCATTATGCTCCGAAGACAGCGCATATGAAAATTGTTCAGTCGCCGTTCTTGTTTTGCGTATGAAGTCCAGGATTCCGCTCCGTACAAGAGAGTGCTTAGGACGCACGCTTGGTAAATAAGTATTTTTGTTTTTATCGTGAGGTGTTTATTGTCCCAAGCCCTTCTACGAAGCCTCCCGAACGTAGTGGCTGCTTTACCGATGCGAGAATCGATTTCCACGTCAAGCGAAAGGTTACTCGATACGTGCGATCCGAGGTTGCGAAACTTACTGACCACCTCAAGGGGTGTGCCGTTTAGCAAGATCTATGGCTGCTCAGAACACCCCTGCGCCAATATCACAGTTTTCTTGGCATTGATTGACATAGAAAATAGATCGCACGCTCTAGCGAATTTATCCACGAGGATTTGGAGCTCCGTCTGGCTGTGAGCAACGAAAGCAGCATCATCAGCAAAAAGAAGACTGTCTACGAACAAGTCTCTACAGTGTCGCTTGGACTTCAGCCTCCTTATGTTGTATATCTTACCGTCAGATCTTGTGTGTAGATGAACACCTCGTTGGTCGTCTCCAAATGCAACTTTCAAGAGTGCAGAAAAAAATATTCCGAAGAGGGTAGGTGCCAAAACACACCCCTGCCGAACGCCTCGACGTATGTTAAAAGAAGCAGATGTCTGAGTACAGATAACTGAGTACAGCCCCTCTCTGCTCACCGTGTCAAAAGCCTTGCTTAAGTCTACAAAGGCGACGACCAGAGGAGTGTTCTGCTCTCTACACTTTTCCTGCACTTGTCGAAGAGAGAATATCATGTCGACAGTAGACCGTTGTGCCCGAAAGCCGCATTGTGCCTCTGGATACATGCGGTCGGAAAGCCTTTGCAGTTTAGCCAAAATGGCCCTAGCAAAAGCCTTGCCGACGATGCTAAGCAGAGATATTCCGCGGTAATTATTGCAATCACCGCGGTCGCCATTGCCTTTGTAGAGAGTGACGATGTTAGCATCACGCATGTCTTGAGGCACGCAGCCCTCTTCTCAGCATTTGGTCAAGTTGTTGTAGAGGAGGGGTAGGACACACTTAAGTTTGACGATTTCGTCTTTGCCCGGGCTTTTACCATATTTGAGCTGCTTTACGGCCAGGTAGAGTTCCTCTATAGTAGGAGCAGTGTCTAAATCATGCCAAGTATCCAGATTCGGGATTAATCCCACCGTTTCAGGCTGGATGTCTACTGGACGTGAGTAGATCCCCGTGTAATGCTCCACCCATCTTGTCATCCGGCGGCTGCTGTTTTTTATGACGGAGGCGTCGGATTCTTTTAGAGGTGCCGTCTTCTTTGAGGTAGGTCCAAGACCTCTTTTAATGCCTTCATAAACTCCGCCGATGTTCCCCGCGTCCGCACATGCTTGGATGCGTTGACAGAGCTCTGTCCAATATACATTTGCGTAGAAGCGAGTGCTACGCTGAAGTGAGGCTTTTGCCTTATTAAGCTCTTCCCGCGCAGCATCGCAAGGATTAAGGCGATAGTTTATAAAGGCTTGACGTTTTGAATCGATTAGGCGCAGTAAATGCTCCTCGTTTTCGTATATCCAGTCGTGAGATTTCACCCTTTGGTACCCGAACAGTGTACCTGCAGTGTCTGTGAGGAGGGACTTAATTTTATCCCACTCGGCATGTGCTGACATAGAACTATCCCATGTTGCAATTTCATCACGAACTTTTGCCCCGAAGGACTCCACTGCTTCCAGATCACGGGTCTTAAAAAGATTAATCTTCTTTCGACCGAGTGGCTTAGATGAGTGAATTCTCTTGGGAACTAATCGGACTTTAGTAACAACAAGGCTATGATCACTGTCGCAGTCAGCACTATGAAACGTCCGTGTATGGAGCGTTTCTCGCAGGTCCCTCTTTTTGGTAAGGACAAGATCTAACTGGTGCCAGTGCTTTGAGCGAGGGTGCATCCAAGAGACTTTTCGCATCAGTTTGCCTTTAAAGAACGTATTGGTGACACACAGCCGGTTTCTAGAGCAGAACTCCAACAATAGTTGTCCGTTGTTGTTTAGCTTACCTATGCCGTGCGCACCTAAGCAGTCAGGCCAGTTAGGTGAATTCTGACCCACACGAGCGTCAAAGTCACCCAAAATGTGTAGTCTGTCGGATAATCGCACATTACGAACCGTTTCTTCGAGCTGGTTGTAAAACTGGTCCTTGGTCTCGGGTGTGTTGTAAAACTGGTTTGTTTTCTGCGTTGAGTGTTGGTGCGTAAGCGGAGATAAAAGTAACATAGCCGCTTTTAGTATTAAGTCGCAAGATCATGATGCGTTCAGATATACCAATTGGTGGCTCTATGGCGTTGATTAAGTGATTACGCACCGCAAAGCCAACTCCGTGCTCTCTTTTTTCTGCGTGGCCCTACCACCGCAAAAAAAGCTACAACGAAAACAAGTGTCTTCTCCGCCCGCTGGTTTTTGAGATAAGTAAATTAGCTTTTACTGAGCTAGTACCTTTATCATCTACGACCCAAACAACACTCGCAGTCATTAAAATAAAACTAAACGTACAAATCATATACTATATTGTTATATATCCTAGTTAACAGCGGCCCACCATTTCAGGTTACCCTTAGATTGAGCCCTTGCCATCACTTTCAATATAAAATAAAACAATTTAATTCTCAAACACCTAGCTGCCGACAATGCATCGTTAACGGACGCGTTTACGTTCAAGACGCGTCAAGCTCTCCCGCTAGAATCCAACATCAGTAAACTGGCGACGCGGAGGCACAAACGAAACGCATTCGGCTTCCATTCGATATATAAGGCGCGATCCGAGAGTCGAAACTCATTCGACCCTCCGCGACGGTAAAACCGGCTAATTGTGCAAAACTCGATTAACGCTCTCCGTGGAAGCACTAAACGACTGTGGCGGTGCGGTCTGTTCACCGCCCTCGACGGCTCCATTGCTTTTACAGCGCCACTAATAGACCTCGTTTTATTAGGGCGAGAGACGTCGAGATAACGTTTGTATTTCAGCAACTATGTAATCATCGTAAAACGGACGCCCGTTAAACACTCCGCCGTCGCCACGATGCCTACGCTAATTGCGATGACGAGCTTTATAAGCTCAATTCAGTCGCTACACTGGGATTGTAAGATTTAAACTATATTTAAGAGTTGTGTTCCAAGTGTTAGAACAGGTAAACGATGCGGTAGCATGAAAAGAGTTACGTTGACGTGTATATACGATGCGGTATAGGATAACTACCACTAGTAAAAGCTCTATATCATATGACAGACGATATGGCAAGGCATCAGATGGAGACCCTCGTGTGGCCGTTGGACATATTTATATAATATACATCGGGTAGGAAATCGGGACAACACACAGATGAACTGACGTCCGGAGCAGCCCCACAAAAGTCGACTTGTTGCGAAAACAGCTCATTAAGTTGTTGGCCGTGGTCGCGTTTCATTCCCGCGGCGAGAGTCGGAGAGAACTCGAAACGCCGCGTGTAAGCTATCGCCGCGCTGTCACCGTAGGCGCACACCGACGTGGATCGCGTTACGACCGCACAACAGGATGTCGATCGAGAGCGACGGGCGTTTTCATTCGGTTGTGCGGTGCGCTCGCGGGTGCACTGCCGTGTGTAGCTAGAGGGGGTGCACACTACAATAGTTGTCACCATGCCGGACAAGCGATTAACACCGTCACTGGCCGACGGAGCCACGAACGCAGAAAACAATTTTTCACCCACCAACCACCCGTTGATTTTTACCCACCGACGACATTATACTGGTGCGTTTCGTCTGGTGAGTGAGGTAGCCAGGGCCCACTCTATAAAAAAGTGCCAACGTATCGCAAAGGCCCATCACCGACACTGCAGAGTTCTGGTGTAAAATTAGCCGCGAATTCGAATGTTTCCGCTAAAACATCACAAACAATCATTACTATATTTATAACTTTGCTGAAATTTAAAGACGCACGGTGATAAACATCTGCGTTGCGGCTTAGGGACGAGACTCGCTAATTCACTCATCGCAAAGTGCACGTGATTTCAGACATCGCGCCAAACGATACGCGATGCGCCTTTGGATCGCACCCAAAGGAGCTCCATGCATAGTCCCACACGTGTAATGTATATAGACTACAAAGCATTGATTCGATATACGCAGAGAAATAACAACACTATATAAGTGTTTTATATACACGGTAACGCAAAGCTTAAATGCTTTGTTTAAAGGCACCGTAGAAGGCCAATCGAAGACTAATAATAGTTCGGTGATGCGCATCACGCAGTTAAATTGTCTGTAGTCCGTAGAATATTAAAACTTCATCGAAGGCAGAACTTGTCGGCTAGCCAGAACGAGCTTGATAGAGCCTCTGCGTTGGGTAGAGCCGCGCATATGCTCATGAGTGCGTTATCTTACTAAACAGGAGGTATGGAGATAGCTTATTGTGGGTAACTGTACAGTCGAGACACATTCTGCCTCGCAACGGAAGTATGCGAAATGGAAAGTATGAAACAAAAACGACTTTGTTTGCCAGAAACATACATCTAAATATCCAATCTTATGGCGATATCGTATGTTCTCTAGGAAAAATATATAAGAGGAGCGAGAAAATGTTTTCCTTTAAACGGTGCCTGCTTTTGTACTAAACATATTAAGCCGTTAATAACGAAGTTAACCTGGCTTCTTCAGTAACAAAGTCGCCCCGACGCCAGAATCCAGTCGGCTAACCCAATCGCTCCAGACTAAATCGAATTACAGAAAGAGTATCATTGTTGGAAGCGACTTCAAACAACGCCCCTTGGGACATCAGATGTTACACGTTCTAGAATGGTTTGAACGCAATTAATTCTATAGGAAACAATTTACAAAAGGCTTATCTTGATTAAAAAAATCTATATGATATACTAAGGATTCCGTTCAATAACATATTATTGGTTTTTATTTTAATTACATAAAGATAAAATTGAAGGCACAAAAATTTTTACAAAATGAAAAATAAAAAATTCTATAAGTATCTCTGAGATGATCATCAGCTTAAACGGTAATTTGATATTTTAGATAATCTAAAGAAACAAATTAATGTAATTGTCGAGTACGTTTTAATTTAATCAATTTGAAGAAAAAAAAACTCTATACTTTTATATTTACAGAAATTCTTAAATCTAAACGAAAAACAATTAGTCGAGTCACGGTTGTTCCGCGACACTTACAAATTAGTCCCCGACACTCAACGAATAATATCTTTAGAACGAAAATTAATTAGGTCTGTCGCCAAATTATATGTCCCTCGTTATTAATAAGAACATTACTAGGGAATTATAGGGTGGAATGTAGACCGTAATGTTTAAATTGGGATACAGCGATAACACTTATATCTTTGTGTCTCTTAATTGGATTGTATTTCAGAAGCTTTCATGAGAATTTTGCAGGCTTTTTGTATAAGATCAACTGAAAGTTAATAATTGAAAATATATATTGATAACAGGTCATTGATCTAATTATATATACGGCATATTCATCAGAATGTATAACGATAAAATACATCGTTTAGCGATGTTGCTTTATCGTCATGATTTTCAAATTCAGTAAGGCGCACACACTTCCGTCTGCAGAACCTTATTATTTCCACCAAGTGAAACAATCGCATCGTTTATCTGTGGCAATATTTATACATCCGTATGTCTGTTTGTACCGCTGATAGACGCCTCTGCCTACGCACACACCCGCACCTAGTGCGGTAAGACAGACATAGCGTTACTTAATCGTCTCCTTGAAACACTTTATTATCAGTCACGTTATGGACATGACACACATTCCGCCGGTAAACACCATCAACTGATACAATACTTTATTGCGCTCCACATTCGGTACTGCTCGGACCGGCCCTATTACTGATACGAGTGCATTGTTACGCGTTATTTATCAGCTGGTTGCGTAATCGGCGGCATTGCAACGAACGGCCAACGCGACGTGACACGGCACCGTTTAAAATTTCCGATTTATAAATGAAACGCGCCACTAGGTTGCGTAATATTGTTTGTGTGTAGTGGCGGCGAACTTATTAAGTGGGACATTGTCGAATGCACGCGCGTATTTTTTTCGCTTCAATAATATCCGGGTGAAATATGATGATAATTTATAGACCTCTCGTATCGGTTACGCTAAATTAAGCCACTTGTATGCGTGCGTATAAATCTCCGAGGGGAACGTTCTTAGACAATGGGAACATCCTATGGCCCGGCTTATTGTCCGACGAACGGTCGGCGAGTCTATCAATGAAAGATCGAAAAATGCGGTCGGTTCATTAATTAAACAATGTCGGCTACTCGTGTCCCAGTTCCCGCGAGAGTTTCAATGTGCCGCCATCGGGGTTAACTGTGACAAGGTTGCAAACGGAGGACCACCCGAGAAACGGCGTAATAGCAAACGTGAACGTTTCCTAGTAAATCATTCGCGCTAGGCCAATGTCCTAAGAGCTGTGAGTTTGTTTTGTGAGCGAAAAGCGATGTACTACCAAGACAGACCTAGTAAAGTTGGTTTTTAGTGAAGGTTGAGCGATGTCAAGTAAATTTTAACACGCAATTAGTAACACTGCAGATACCTTGGCACAGATAGCACGGGCTGCTGAGGGACGTGTATGTAGGTATAGCTCATTTTAACAATTTAAAAGAAAACACGATTTTTAATAACCCACGTTTGTCCGATGTAACAGATATTCCCTTTATTTATCTTCAAAAAACGCTTCGAAAATGTTTATTGTTCGAAGCTCAACGCACTTTTTCGGTAATGGCCCGCTGGCAACATTATTTTTGTGCACGCGATCTGTCGTTTATAAACCGTACACTGGCCATATAACGAAACTTTATCGTTGCCGCTCCGATTCTTTTCATTGAGGAAATTGATTTGAACGCCATATTTTTCAATCACGCCGCCAAATTTACGTTTGCAACATGCATCGAATATCATTCGGGGGGCCCACTCGTTGATTGTTCGAGGCAATATCGACTCAACGGGCGATTTTCGATAGTTGCACATGACGCAATGTTGCGAAAATAACGCGTTGTTCATTGCCCACTTTAAAAGCGTGTGCGCCGATTTAATTGACGTAAGCTTAACCTCCTTAAACGAAAATACGGAAAGGCGGTGTCCCTGGCGTGAGGGGAAACACCTCGAAAAACCGTCGCCGTAGATGGTATTGCGAAAATATCACTGAAATCGCATCAAAATAAGATTCCAGCTGAAAACGGACATTCCGGCAGAGGGAAGAAAACGCTTTCGACGCTGTTTCTATAGAATTTTTTTCGTGTCGCTTTAAGACGAATGTGTGCGTTAAACGAAAAATAATGTTCGGCAACACTTATTATAACATCGGAGCGCTGCCCCAACCGTCACAGTAGATAGTATTGATGCTAAGTGATAACCGCCACCCATGTACATTTGCAACACCCCTAGTGTTGCAGATGCTTTGCCTACTTTTTAGTAAAGTTGGCGCCGCTTCCTCACTCATCAGACGAAATGCACAAGTACAACAATTCCACATACACGCCGTTCTTCCGCGAGGTCGTAATACTTACCCGGACGGACCTGTCCATTCGTGGGACAACCGAGACTGTCGCGTGTTCCTGCCACAGTTGTCCGACTACTCACGACGGGCGCATTTTCAATGAGAAGCGCCGTGATTCCTACCGGCCAGCCCGCCCAGCCGACGCCCGTGCCGAGCGGAACCGCATGGCAACGCTGCCGACGCGGCAATCTCACCTTGACTCACTTCGCGCGGCCCGTTCGCGTTGCACCGTCGCCCCGTGATTGGTGGCGTCAAATATAATTATTGTGAACATTTTAACGGTCTCCGGGTGGATTTTATTGCACTTGGGAAATTGTTTGAGACGGTTAGGACTTAAATATTGCATTAATGGAACGATTACTTACAAGATTAGAATTTGATTAGATAAAATGATAACTCCGTGGCGCATTTGCCAAGGCTTCGGCGTCGGGGGTCGTGGATTCCCACACGGGACAACTTTTTGTGCGATCCACCGATAGTTGTTTCGCATCTGGATGTTTGTCCGCGTGAAATTTATGTTTGTAAAACTTCCTTAAAACATAGGATAATGTTATCCTAAAGTAAGGGCAACGTTTTTATACCATTTAAAAAAAAAGACCAACTGTTGAGTTTCTTGCCGTTCTCTTCTCAACAAAAACTGCCTTCCGAACCAGTGGTAAATTACTTACGAACATATGAATTAAATGTAATCTTCAACGTCTCATAAAAACGCGCAAGCGTCTATTTGAGTAAAGATATTTTTGACATTCAAATTTGTAAAAAAGCACGGAAAAATTGTTGTCGCTGTGGGATTCGAACCTATGCCTTCGGCATTCGCGGCCTGACGCTTTAGCTACCAAGCTAAACGGCTGATTCCCACAGCGCCGATAATCTTTTCGTACTTATAGTACAAATTTTAATGTTTAATCTTAAGTGCTTTCTGCACTTAACACTATAAAAATTTAAATTTCTAAAGATATATTGAATTTGATTGGTTGATTAATTTCTCTTATTTGAATTGATACGGACGATTCTTAAATTTTAATATTCTTAATAGCCATGGCAGTCACATTATGCCACAAGCAAACCCTATTTACCTTTATAAAGCAAATATTATAAAATCTATTTATA